AAATTATTTTCAGCATTTGCAATACTCAAAAATATATAAAAATATATCGGAACAATGGAATGTGCATGGAATCGTACCAAGACGGACTATGCTGTTCTTATCAATTTCATGATCTCACCTGAACATTGTATCATTTTTGCATTTTTTAATGTTTGTGCATTGCCTGAAATTCCTACGATGATACATTATACCATGGATAGAGAGATGCAATGTCGATTTGCACAGCGACCAGACAAATGTAACCGACAAAAAACAAAAGCAACAACTTAAGACAAAAATGAGATGATGGAGAATAAAATTGGAAGCGAAAATCGGTTTATGATGACAATTGCAATCACAAAATGTAATAAATAAGAAATACATAAATACTCATATATATGCTTTAGATGGACCAGCTACGAGTTCAACCATTCACGAAGATGACCACTCATATATTTGGCATGATCAACAGTGGGTTAATTAATGTATTTTTAGCTACACTCGCAGCTCCACATATGCCAGAATACTCGTACCATATATATGAATGTAATTACAGTGCCTCGAAAACGGTAGTAAATTTAACTACGGTGAAGTCGGAATTGGCAAAGCCTTAAATATAGCATTGAAGGATATTTCATTTAAGCCGCTTTTAATATACTTTTGCTCTTTAAGTGGATATGCGTATATTGGTATATTGGAATTTAAATGACTATGACAGGGCCGCATTTGGGTTGTTAACTTTAGACTTTTTTTTATTTAAAAATTATTTTAATTTTATAATACATATTATTTTTAAAATACATTTATGAAAAATGTCTTATGAAGAGTGTTTGTCGATCGAGAGAGAGCTTTATTTCCTATATATGTTCAAATCCCTATTGACATTGGTAATTAGATCTTAAGTTTGACAAAGTTTTTACACTTTAGTGTGGTTTCTAAAAAAGTAATAATACAACTGTTTTAAGAGCAGATTCTATTAAGAACAGATATTTTTACTGTTACTCAATATATGCTTTATTTTACTTTCGATCATCTGCAAGATCATTTAGGAAAATTCTACTTCGATAGTGGTAGAGATTACAGTTTCGAAATATGTTGTGCCATTGTTTATAATAACTTTTATAATTAATTTAATGAAATAATAATATAAGAAATTATCTTTTCTGAAAAGTAAACATCAGATCTTACTAGTCAAAAGAGAATTTGACTGACAGAAAGATTTTGGCTTCTCTTTTCATTAAGATAAGGTCAAAATCGCCGGAAAAACTAAGATTGGTATTTACAGAAGTGGCTGAAAGATTCAACTAAAAAAATGTTTACAATCATTACCACCGTAAAGGTTTTTTAGATGATTGTTTTAATAATGAATCTATATTTCTAAAAACATTGCAATATAGTCTATATAAATCCATTTTGGAGAATAGTATTTGCAGAAGAGAGCATGGATTTAGCTGACAAAGTGTGAATTAGCGGAAAATCTCCTCAACAATGTTCACCATAAAGACCTACTAAATGATTAATGCAGGATTAATGTTTTTATACACACTTAATTGTAGTCCATAAAACTCTACTATGAAAACGCTATTAGAAAGAGACTATCAAAAGTAACAGTGTAAGACTTAACCTGCTTAAATCAAATCTGAGGATTGTTTAGTAATAGAATTTCAGACTAGAGAATCTGATGGAGCCAACAGATGATTCCAAACATTATGTAGAAATAAAAGACGTTAATGGGGCAATGAATAAATTGTTATAGAATTTCGAACAAACGATTCTCAAAGAGCAAATAGATAAAACTCCATTTCTGAGTAAGTCAGAAAGCAAGGACAACAAGTAAAATTAATGAAAATCTTATGACATTTTAGAATGCATCATCTATACACTTTAAGTTCTGGATCGCAACGAATACACTGACATGAAGTGGAGTCAGTGCAGATATTTTTATATTTTTAAATGTTTGACATACCCTTCTATTGGGTAGAGATTTGAGATCATTGAGATAGAATAGTTGAAGGCTAGATTAGTGAGAACTTATGCTTCATAACTTAAGGAAAGTCAACAAAATTATAGTAACTCCTGAATTATAACTTTAAGAAATATTTAGAAATTATTTTTTGTGTAATAAAATCTGTTTATTACTTGAATCTTACTCCTTTTTCCTGCAACTCCGCCAATGACGCTTATCTTCCATATTAAACAATGTGCATAAATCTTAAGACTTCATTTGTGTTGTTCACACTGTATTTATTTTTTATGAGCAGAAGTATTAAAATATTTGTTGGTACACATTCCATGAGGGAACTTAATACGTTAACGCAATTTAAGACTTTTATTTAAGCTTGACTGAGATTCAGGTTCATTTTGAGGTTATGCCTACAACGCAGACTGTAACGCAGTTCAAGTACAAGCAAGTATCTCAGCTAAGCAGCTATAAAATTGAAGTATAAACTGCAATGTGGTTGTTGCTGCTGTTGATGTTGTTGTTGTTATTGTTGTGCCTTAAACTGGCGAACCTGGCTTCAGGCAAGCTCAGCTTTTGCTGGAGGCTTAGATACTTTTATGGCATGTGGGTTACTTAACACATACTCGCAAGTGTTTCTGCAAAGTGTCTTTGTACTCTACGCAAATTTGCTACGTTATGCGATCAAATATCTTCTACGTGCAAATGCCAGTCGGTATTTGATTTTTCAACTCTTTAACCCACAGTCTGATCTTCAGCAGATATTAAATATCAATTGTGACCAAACACTGCAGCGCAAGGGTTGAAGATGCTGTTAGGCATTTAATGCCATTGCCTTTTGCACAATTTTGTTATTCAAATTTTTTTTATACAATTTTTTTTATATTTATTCTGAAGTACCAGCAAATAGCAAATAAAACATTAAATTGACATTTTAGATTTTTTATATATTGTAAATTATGCCAATAAAACAATTTTTTATGCTGTATTTTGTTTGCATACTCGTCCACACGTTAGTTGAAGGTACTCTCTGCCACTCTGCCACTCTGCAACTCTGCTCTTCTGGTGATGCTGCGACGTTTGGACACACTCACATTGTTGCGTGCTCGTAGTCAGCTTATGCCAAATAAATTTTAAAATGATGGTATCATCCTCTAAAGCGTTTGATTTATTTCTATGCTGGCGCCGATGTAGTCACTGCACAAGAACGTTATACCCGAGAAAGGGGGAAAAAGTGAAATAAAATAAATGATACATAAATTTTTATATAATTTTATATGACTTACAAGTGTGTTTCTACGTATCCACACCGAAGTTCCTATGAATTTTAAAAACCTTTGAAATTTTTCTATAAATTTCAAATGATACTAGTATTCCTTGTCTTCGGCGCGAAAATACTTGGCAAACAAATAACTCATGTCTCTTGGGTACAATCAGGAAATTTGGTTTCCACACCGAAATTATGTTGATTTTTTCAAACCAGAATTAGAATTTGAAAATATATTAACAAGACATATCATTTTTTGTGACAATACTTGTACATGAAGATTGTTTGAAAAGTTTTTGGTACAACATAGAAAGGAACACTTATAAAACCATCGTTTTTCGTTTTTTCTTTGATATATTCCCTCGACTTCTTACTGGATTAACATAGGCAAACGATTTTTCTACTTTTTTGACCTCTCCTAATTGTGGATAGCATGAAAGACTTTCAAGTAAAAAAAGTTTAGCGTTCAACATAGAAAGGAATATTTTTAAAATCATCGTTTTTGGTTTTACTTTGACATATTCTTCCGATTTTTTAACTGGATGTACTTATGACAACGTATTTCTTACTTTTTTGTCTTCTCTTAATTTCGGAAGGCATCAAAAAGTTATAAACTTGCATTTACGATGGAAAACATTTCTTCGTGTTGTGAGAATTGTTGCCTTTTGAACGAAACTTTACCTTTTGTAAAGAAAAGTCAGATCCTCAGTATCTCAGTTAGATTTGTTGAGAAGAAAGAATTGTCAATTAACTCAAAACCTAATTTGTGAATTTTACCCATGACGATGAAAAAAGTCTTAGTAAAACAATGTTTTGCATAGATGATCTTTACGTTACTTATACTATGCAACCCTCTTTAAACTAAGCAATCAATAATACTGAATATTGATTTTTTAGTCAAGTAATCCGAAAAAAACAGTTGCTGTAATGCTCCTGACTGACACACTTTTTATACTTTTTGAAGATCTTCACATTTTCGGTTCATTCTCTAAGTATTCTTTCGTCTTCGGAAAGTAGCGACGTAATTACAATGTTTCAATTACTTTACTATACAACCCTCTTCGAACTGGACAAGTAGTAACATAGTTAACTTTCTTCTGTCATCCTCATCTATCAGTGGAGCATAGGGCCTCAACATAGTCGACTAATTTGAAAAAAAGGAACCAAAACTTTTTTGATTGACAACACAGTCCTCACTTTGGCCTTTTTTTTATTGTTTTGTAGCCAGAAATATTATTAAATCTATTAAAAAGTTGAAGGAAAGCTCATATAGACATCTCCGGACTTAATTATAAATATATACAAAAAGGTTAACTTAGTCGGGTGTTTTTAGATGTGCATTTAAATATGGGGTTTGTGTATTACTTATAACTTTAACTGTTGTCCTATTCGATGTTTTTATTAATGGTGCCTTTATTTTGGTCGCCTAAAATGGTTTACGAAAGACAGCTGTTGCAACTTGATTTAAAGACCGATATGATTGCCTTTATTCTAGAATATGATGGCGTAGAGTAATACAAACTTTATTATAAATTAGTATAATTAATTCATACGGCTATTCCTATTTGTTTATATAAAAATAAAATGAAAATTCTTAATGTTGTGCCCTTCCACTCTAAGCACACTGTATAATTCATAGTTTATGAAATGGAATATTATTTTTTCTAATATTTAATGCTTTTACAGCAGTTAAAATAGTAATCATAGTTTTTTGGTTCAGATAAAGTTTTTATTTACTTACAATTATTCATAAATTCGGAAAAGAAAATAATAACCAGTAAAAAGCTAAGCAAATTCAGTCTTGAAGTAAAAATTTTAATTCTACGAATAATTATTTTTGCATCTTTTTCTTGTGGTGAATGACATATTCACCTTTAAATATATTTGTGGTAAGTAAGCTCTAGATATGTTGAATACACCTGTGATTTGTGTTGAGATTTTGATGAGTGAAACTTCTAATTTTAATAAATTTTTATTTATTATATATAAATACTATAAATTATATAATTGAGGCATTGTATTTATATTCACGTTGAAATAAAAAGTAAATGTCTGTTATTGCTATATATTCTACTGTTGTATTGTTATTGCTGGGGGACTTATACCTGCCCCACACTAAGTTTTAACTATACTAAAATTATTATCGTTTATTTATCTTTTAACTGATGACGGACCATAGGACAGCATATCTTCCTGTGCGGCCTGAGGTGGACTTCAGGTTTGTTAGGGCGGGGTTGGGCAACGTATCGACTTTTGTGAATAATTCCAGGGCTCTGTCCTTGATATATTTTTTCACTGAGTCGATTCTTAGATCTCTATGCAGCTCTGTAGTTCTAATATACCAAGAAATCTTTATTAGTCTTTTTAACGAAAGAGGTTTTGTTTTATCTGTAATTGCTTAATGGCAGTATTTAAGGCTTTGCTATATGTTACACATCCGTACAGTAGTGCTGGTGTAATTATTTGAGTACATAATAACTTTCTATTTTGGAGGTTGAAGCGATTATTATTATACAGCAACTTTATGAGATGTAGAATTTTAGAGCATCTATTCCGTTTGTATTTCATATGTTTATACCAATTAAGCCGTTTGTCAAAAGTGACCCCCAAATATTATATGGTTTCCTCCAACCGTATCTCCGTGCCATCGACGCTTACTCCTGAAGGATGCTGCATTCTCTTTTGTGTTATGAATATACCCTTGGTTTTGTCATTGTTAATTTTAATCTTTCATTTCTGGAAGTATTGTACTATGAGATCTATATTTCTCTGTAAGGTGTTGTTTACATTTATGGCATCCCGGTCAGAGTAGATCAAGCACGTGTCGTCTGCATAAAGCGCCATTGACACGGGGCTTAAGGTGGGGATGTTTGCCGTGAGGTACACCTGCTACTATTGTTCGTGCGGACGAAAGAGTAGTGCTGTGGATTTTAGTTCGGAAGGACTTTTCTTGCAGGAAGCTAACGATGATTTGAATCAGCCCGCTAGGGATCCCAAAATTGACTTTGGCTATGTCATCCCGGTTGATTCCCGTTTACTTAGAGCGGTTTGTATTAGCTGCGCTATTCTGGCTACTAAACAAAAAAGTAGATATCTAGATATCTTTATTTGATAGCTCTGATTTTTGTTTAATCAAAGTAAGCTATGTAGATATGTAAAAAATAAAACTTTGTAAACAAATTATATTAAAAATTATTTCGTTTCAAAAAAAAATCAGCAAAACTTCAGGTGGAAAATAATTACTGTTAAAAAAGATAAATAAACTTCAAGGTGAGGTTTTTTATATACCTATATTTAATAAATCAATAAGGGCGTAATTGTAGAATAATGAAATTTTTTAATATTTTTATCCCTATGTAAGTTAGGACCAGATATACATTGTGACCGAAAGGTTTTCGGAAGTTCTCATTTAAAATTCGCGCGCTGTATATTTTTCGATATTTTAAGTTTATGTAGTTTGGCAGCACTGTCATTAATTACTATGCCAAAAATGAGCGCGATCTGTCAGACAGTTCGTTTACGGCAGCTGTTGAAACCAGTTCACCTCAGTAGTGCGTTGCGAAAAAAACAATGGAAAAAAATATTGAACAAAGAGTTTGCATCAAATTTTGTTTTTCGAACGAAATTTCGTGTGCAGAATCGTTGCGAATGCTACAAAAGGCTTATGGGGAATCAGTTTTATCGAAAACTCAAGTTTATGAGTGGTACAAAGCCTTTCAGGACTGTCGTACGACCGTCGAAGACATGCCGCGTTCTGGACGACCTTCGACCTCTACCACCGACGAAAACATTGAAAAGGCAAAGGAAATCGTGTTCAAAAATCCTCATGTGAGTGTTAGAGAGATAGCACGAGAGCTAGGCATCGGTCGTGAGATGGCTCGTTTGATTTTGGTGGACAATTTGTGTATGCGACGTGTCAACGCCCGGCTTGTTCCGATTCACCTCAATTTGTTCAACATTATCAACGATTTTAAGGCCAAACATTCAATAAATACCATCGAACAGCCACCGTATTCACCTGATCTTGCACCGTGTGACTTTTTCCTGTTTCCCAAACTCAAATTACCACTCAGAGGAACGCGTTTTGAATCCATAGAAGACGTAAAACAGAATTCGCAGAGGGAACCCAAAGCCATACCGGAAAGCGCCTATAAAAAATGTTTTGATGATTGGAAGAAACGTTGGCATTTGTGTATCGCTTCTAATGGAGCATATTTTGAAGGAGATAAAATAAATATTGATGAAGATTAAGAATTTTGCGTTTTATTTAAAATTTCCGGAAACTTTTCGGTCACAATGTATAGTTTGAAATTAATTGGTTCAAACAGTTGAAACTAAGTATAGAAGTGTTTCCCTACCTATCCGAGTTTTGGACTTGTCTTTTTATATATAGTTATTTATTCATAAATTTTGTTTTCTTCTAGAATAACAAAGTACATACAAAAACTTTTCGTTCATCAAAACTACTTCATTTAATGAACAAAACTAACTGCTTTGAAAAACAATAACTGGAAACTCTATTTTTGAACGAAGTAAGCTTTAGTAAATATCTGCAGTAAACTTCAAAGATAATAAAATTTTTTCATATAAAGTTTACGAAGAAAAAATAAGTTCTAAAAATCGTTCTATTCTAGAAGAGAAGCCATTTTATGAAAACTTGCTGAACTTTCCTGAAAATCGATAAGGATCGATACAATCAATGTTACAGGTAAATTCTTATAAAAAAAGCATTTCCGTTAATATTTTTTTTTAGTTAATAATTATTTTTTTTTTATGGATGAGGAGGTAAAAAGATTCATCTAACGTTGAACCGACAGTCACTGGAATATCGTGCCCGACACCCATTGGTAGTTACGGACCAAAACAACGCTCTTCTTCATCTGGAACCGCTTTCGCATTATATCGGTAATTTGTTGATAATGCCGATGAATAATTTTTCACTCTCTATTACGGTTTAACATTATATAGATTTTACTGTCAATTTCGGTTAGCTATGGTTCATGTTGTCTCTTACGCGGTTGTTTTTTCTCACACATGTTGATTAAATTCCTTGATCTTAATGAATGCTAAGAATTGGAATTGTAGTGGGTGTCTGTCTTCAAAAAACCTTATAGAACTTTATCTTTTTTTTTATTTGATGGTAGTTATATTTACGTCCATATATATGTATGTGTAGGTTTCGGATAAACCGTGGTACATGCATAACATTTTTAAAAACTTTCTTTTAGAAAGTTTCAGAATTCGTTTGTTGATTTCGTCGCTTTACATAATAACATAGGTTCGTATAGATGGTTTAATCTGATTATTTTAGATTTGGTTTGAGTATTAATATGTCGTTTTTTGGAGGTAATTATTTGTATCACCTGTTGGCTAATGCTGGTTTAAAGAACTTTCACTTTTTAATGTTAATTCTGGTTGATCTATTATACAGAGTTATATCCAAATATTTGTATATAATTTTAGATTTTTAATCGTCTGGGACTTAAGTACTGTTTTTTGTTAAAAATATAGTCTTGGTTTTGTTAGAATTGAACTTAACTTTTAAAGGGGAATCTGTTATAGAATTCAATTTAAAATGGCAGTACTTTATTGTTGTCATTAAAGACGCTTTGTATTTTGTTTAAATTATATATATAGACTAAAAAACTAAAAAATGTTGTTCCCAATTAGTAAAAGTAATTGTTTAAAATAGATTTCTCTTCCAGAAATTTAAGTAGTTTTGTGCATTCTACTTCTCTGGAAAATTTGCAGACTTCATTTAGTACTTTCCACGTGTAAGAGTTGCCATACAATATTAAATACTTTCATATTTAAAATTATTTATATTTAATTTTTTTTTGTTAATATTTTATTATTCAAGAATTAAAACCAATTGCTCTGCTTACTCAAAAATTTTAAAATGAATTGCGAAGAAAATGATGGAAGTGATGGCTTGTCAGAAACACATTCTGGTGATATCAATACCTGTTTGAATTATAAATCTATATCGAATGTTTCTATATATCACAACTGTTTAAATGTTACTCCCAGTGATAAGAGAATCCATTTTGGATCTCCACTGGGTTGTGATAATGCAGCTGATATTACTGTATTTCATAGCTGTAATACATCAAATAATAGTGTCGAAAACAGCATCGATGGCGATAGTTCTTCTAAATTGATTCCGAACTCAAGTCAGCTTAATGCAATTGCTGGAAGTAATAATTGTAATGAATGTATTGCTGCTAATACCAATGGAACTGCAAATACGGACAGTATTCAAAACGGTGATGATAAAAAGTCTAAAGTTCTTCTTAGTTCTTTTGGTGTGAGTAATGGAACTGGTGTAAAAAGTATAAAGAAAGAAGATGTTTCATCCAATTTGGCAACTATTGAACTTAAAATTAAGAACCCGAAAAAAAATATCGCATTAAATAGTGCAATTGCATCAAAAAGTTCTAATGCATCAAGAAGTATATTTGCATCAAAAAGTAATTTGCTTTTTGTTAAAAGCAAACTTAACCTACAAATTACCCAAGCAAAGCGTATACATTTCCTCCGTTACGGTAACAAGTTTCATACCGGTATTACACTACCAGTTTCTAAGGTAAAATACAAAGCTTTTGAAAGTCTCTTAGAAGACGTTACCCGCCTACTTTGCTGCACTCTTAAATTACCTGGGCCGATACGAGCAATTTATACCAAAAATGGTGAAAATATTATTTCTATTGAGGAATTCGATCCAACTCAATCTTACATATGTTGCTGTAAAAATGAAACTACAAAAAAAGAAACAATAAATGACGGTCCACAAAACAAAGCACCAGGAAGAATTTCACTCTGTCAAACTCAACGACCCACTCGTTATCTTCGGCTTGACATAAAGCGTGAAGGTTGTGTGCGTCCACGTGTTATTATCTTAATCAAATATGGTCCGAAACCAAGGAAGATATTTCAGCTTCTTTTAAATAAGGATAATAATCAGTCATTTGGAAAAATCAAGCAAACAATTACTGTCGCCTTAAAAATGAACTCAGGTTCCATACAAAAAATATTTACGCTTTGGGGATTTGCCATCCGGAAGTTGGAAGAGTTCTTTGGAGATGAAGATATATTTTTAGTTCACAGTAATGAATATGTTTACTATCCAGATAATTTTGAACTAGACGGCGCTGAAATTCAAAAATTAGAAGAAATTTGTCAGAAGTCACAAAATATTGGCAAGTTATATCAAGTTTTAGAAGCGGAAACTTCACAAACAGTTGAGAAAGAATTCGATATACCCGAAATACTACATGATAGGTACAAAATTGAGGATAAAATAGGTGAAGGACATTTTGCTGTAGTTATGAAAATTATTAGTCGGCGTACAAAAAAAACTTTCGCACTTAAAATTGTTGATAAATACAAGTACGATGACGTGGAAGAGGTTATGGATTCGGAAATTAACGTGTTGCGTACATTAAATCATCCTCACGTTATATCACTTTTGACAGTCATAAACCGTCCCAAAAAATTTTACTTAGTCACCGATTATATGGCTGGAGGCGATGTTCACGATGTACTAAGTAAGTCTAAACAATTTTCTGAACCGCAATGTCGTTTGATAGTGAAGCAATTGGTTTTAGCATTAAATTATCTGCAAACATTGCATATTGTTCATCGGGATGTAAAAGTTGAAAATCTGTTAGCTTTGTGCGATGAGTCCGGATATATAAAAAATGTAAAATTGGCAGATTTCGGTTTAGCAGTTCAAACTAAGAAACAATTATTTGTTTTGTGTGGAACGCCATTATATATGGCACCTGAAATGCTATCAATGGATGGTTATGGTAAAGAGATCGATGTCTGGGCGACGGGTGTAGTGCTGTACTATATGGTTTTTAAGGCAGCACCATTTGATGATGATGATGAGCAGTTATTGCATGAGAAAATATCTGTTGGGGAATTCTGCTATCCTGAAACCGAGGTAAGTGCAGATTGCAAGAATTTGATAGAAAACTTACTTCAAATTGATCCTCGTACACGTTTTACTTGTGACAAAATTTTGAATCATAACTGGATGAAAGGGAAAACTTTTGAACATTAAAATGTTTGTTTACTTTTTTATGTTATTGATGATTTTCAGCTTTAATTAAAATAAAATTGCCTCTATGGGCAAAAAAAAAAATAATACAAATATCTTTGATGGATTCAAAAAAATAGTAAGAATAATCTAATATTTTATATTTTAATGATTAAGTATGCAGTCTCATAAGTGACTTACTGTGTCATACATATGTAATGATAAACCCACGATTGACTCACAGAATTTAGAATTACTTATTAAGTGTTTAAAATCTCAAAGAAAAGAGATATTTGTCAGCTTCCTAAATATATATCTCTCATTTACTCATTTAAACTATAATACACCATTTCATATTATAAAGAGTATCATTACATTCTGTACTAAAGTAGAATATATGAAACATGTTTAATAATTTGCAACTTGACTAAAAATTTATTTATTACAAATTTATTATATTAGACGATATCATAATACTCAACGGTATGTTGTAATAATACGGTACATATGATATATATATGATACGATATTATATAACGTACGATATCGTTAATTTAAACGCAAAAAAAATGGTGGTACCTCATCTATCACAGAACACATGAAAGTATTGTTACAATAATTATATACAATAATTATATACAATAATATACAATAATTATATAATTATATATATAATTATAATTTTAACTCGAAATTTTGAACTATCCACGCATATTACAAAGAGGTTTTAAGCCTTCGATACGGTACGCGTTTTATTTTATTATGATATGATATAGTACGTAAAAAAATATCTGAACTTAGATGAAATAATATATTAGTTCTTTTTATAATACGGACCGCACACAATAGCATTGTATGAGACATATAAAATTGTGTAATATATTCTGATACAGAACTATTTACTACCCCTGTAAATATCCTGTTGTTATAAATAAATAACATATCTAAAATGCCTGATTTATATGTGAGAAAAATTATCCAATTCTAATCGATTATGATATGGTTAATAAAACCTAATCGGAGTATACTGAACTATGTGTACTTAGAAAGACAGTGGAGAAATCTAGGAAGAACTAGTTGATATGTAATAGCAAACTCCATAAACAGGTCCTAGAAAGAACTGAATCGAAATTAAAGTATATCTAATCTTAGTAAGTTGAAGGAGAGATATTAGTTAGGTTTTTTAACTGAAGCTGACTGTCAGCATGTCAGGTGGCTTATAAAAATGATCTGATCATTTTTAAATATAAGAAGTTAAAGTAAAGACTTTTAACATTTTTGTTAAGGAAATCTATATTAGCAGAAAATATTTTTGAAAAAAACTTTTAATAGTTTTTGAAAGTTAATATAAAGAATTTTTATTTGTTAGAAAAATAGGTTGAAGGTTATATACCAGCAAAAAAAATTTTTGTATTCAACGTACGATATATCAACCTTTACCACTAAGATTTTTTCCCATATATATTATTATTGTTAATCGAAGGAATGGATCTGTCCTCCAATTTTTAATAATGGAAATAACTATTAAATTTAGGCTACATAAGAGAGTAATCGTCTGAAAGTGCCTTACTATCATAAAAATATTCCATTTATTTTTATTTATACATTGACAACTTGACTCGAGAAAGAAGAACAAAGTAATTTTGAAGAAGGATGTCAAGAATTATAGAAAATTTGGGCAATCTAATCATCTTGCAACAACAATAAAAAGACTTGATAAAAAAGAATTTATAGAAACAAACGAGACTCCTCTTTTTTTTAGCTGGTTTGTTTGACAAAATTAGGACCATATAATAAAACAGGGTCTACATATTATTTTGTTCCCAGATGTCAAGATCTCGTCACTGATATTACATTTAATTTACATCTTTTGTACTGAACACAACTACAGTTAGAGATGCAGCTATATTTCTGTTTCATTCACTCTAAAATTAATATAAAATGTCGGGAATTCGGGGATTCTTTAAGCAGTCAATTAAATAAGTTTTATAAAGTTGCTTACCATAGATTCTATAAGTATTTTTTATTTTAAATTGTTTATTATCTTTAACTCTAATTGACATATAAAGAGCTTGTTAGTAACCTAAAAGTAGCTAGCTATGATTTATGAGGGGATCAGTTTTAAGCTTAAAAATCATTGCTATGGGTTAAAATAACAAAAAAATGTAAATAGATAACTTGTTTCAAAAGAGAGATAAATTAGTTAATGTAGTGATTTAGTTTTTTTTTCTTAAATTCAAAATATATTTATATAACCAGGACAAGGACAGCATATGAGTATTACGTAAAACGTATCTCTTTGGAGTTTTGGTTGGTTTCGTTGGCATTAGCAATGTTATTGGCATTTCCATATTTATGCGGTTTTTGTTCGTAGAAAGGAGATTCACAATTTACCTGTTTTGTCTTAACCACCATTTGTGTGCAAAATATAGATAATTAAGATAAAAGATTTATTGAAGACGCCATAACACAGTATTATAAGTGCTAAATACTACCTTCGATATAAATATATACGTACAAGTGTATAAATATTCACATATGTAAGTAAATACACATATTTCCTGTATATATATATAGATATAGATCAGTCATTCGCTTACCTTTAATTTCTTGCTATTAAGATATTTCATTTAATATGGAAAAGATTAATTATGGAATTAACAAAAGGAAATTCCATAGTTTATGAAATTTGGATATAAAAAGATGACTTAGTAATGCACTTGACATTTTATTGAGAATAATTAGAATTTATTTAGATTTATTTTATTTAAGTAGTATAAACTAAATTTGTTACGTTCTACATTTATATTAAACTAACGTCTTTGGCTTAGATAAGATAAATGTTTGGCGAAAGCAAATTTATAAATAAATTTGCATTGAGTACTTCAACTACAGTGTTAAATTCGTCAGATACTAGTTAGTACCCATTTGTCGAAATAAAATTTTGGAATCATGTTTTTTAAATTTCTTACTATTTCATTAGTGAGTTTGCAATATAAATCTATTATATTTTATATATAAATTTCGCTTTAAAGGCAATTTTATGGATCATCTTTATACTGAGACCGGTCGATGTGAACGGACAATGCAATGCTTGTGCTGCAGACACGGGCGTGGCCTGCGTTTCAGAAATAAGTTTCAAAATCTGTGTTGGTGGTTATCCTAATGGTGATGCATTGACATGCCCTACTGGCTACGTTTGCTCTACGGCAAATTCCTCGATTTGCTTGCCAAAAGTACAGAATATCACACCGACTTGCAGCGATTGCAATAAATGTGACGCCACCTCAACTTTTGCTTGCACGGGTCTAACAACTTTTGCGCTATGTCTGGGTACGGGTACAATATCAGACATTGTAGGCAATTGTGCTCCATCACACATTTGCAGTATTGACTATCCACAGATTTGCGGTAATGCTACAACTGGTGTAAGTTACTTTTAACTATGATATATATGGTAATTGGAATTCAGGATTTCTGTCTCATGTTTTAACTGCTATTACAGATAAGTGCTACATGTCCTTCTGTAATCGACGGCACATCTCCAGGAACAACAAGTAGCACTCCTACAACAGGCAGCACTCCTTCAACTGTATCACCGTTTTATAATGCCACCTACTTTTGCAGCAATTTGCAGCAAAGAGGTCGCTTTCCGGTTGGTACAGATCTAAGCACTACTTGCAGACAGTAAGTTAATCTATACGAAAAAAAACGAATTTATTTCAACTTTGAACATTTACATTTCATTTAAGATATGTTTATTGCTTCCTCAATGGTGGTGCTTGGCATGGTCAGATTTATAATTGCCCTGGTAGTACATATTTCAATAGCACCTCACAGAACTGTGGGGTAGCTATACCACCTCGCTGTTTGGGTACTGTTCGAAGTTTAAGTCTTTTTGAGATTGATTTAGATTCATATTTTTAATGTGTCAGTTAATCAGTTAATTGGTTAATCAAACTAATAATACATGGTAAAGTGAGTTATTTTTATATAAGTGATGATTAAAATTTTATTAAGATGTTTAAATATTAAGTGTATAAGTCATATGAGTAAAGTAATAAAGCTATAATATGTCATAAAAAATGCTTTCTTTTCTCGGTTAAAATGAGTAAAACCATGAATAACAATCACGCATTATAGTATAGATGCTTTTTATAAATAAATGCTTAAAAGGAAAGGAAGAAAGTAGTCATCTTTCAAAGTAGTCATTTCCAGATCTGATCCTCAGTTACTATAATCTATTCGTAAACAACAACCCGATGATTTGAGACAAATATAGATGAAGAAATAACTGTCAAAGGAGGACTTATTTAAAAGGTGCTAATAATAAAAGTGCGGAAATCTAAGAAATATGTTAATATATACATAATTATTTTTGAATTAAAAGACTTTACTAAGTCCTGAAGTAAAGCCTTAGAGATTTAGTAGTACTCTTCTCTAAGCGCAAATACCTATCTCGTATAAATGCATAAAAAAATCGAACAAATTAAAAAAATAGTGAAGATTAAAATTGATTTTGATGGTCCCACATATTTGTATTAATTAATCGAAATCTTTTTCATTTTAATCACAAGTGTAGATCACATACTAACGCTGCAAAATAAATTCAGAGTGCTATCTCATAATCTGTGAATCCCCTTTCATACAACTTAACTTTTCTTTTAATATATTAGTACCGCTTTTATTAGTACCGCGATTTTACTGCTCTTCGTAAAATATTTTGTATGTTTTTCCGGATCGTAATACATTTTGGTCTGAGAACCACTGATCTATAGTTTTTAAATTAATTTTTTTTTTAAATCTCGAATGAGTTTTATTGTTATAATATATAAGCTCTTGTTTTTAATTTGAAAGTAACTGCAAATTCTGAGGTAGTAGATTATAATACTAAAGACAGTACAAAAACGTTAATATTACTCATTAACTACAATAATGTAGTATCAAAGAGCAATTGATCGGTATGTATGGAAAAGGAAATTATATTGTGAGTCTAGGAATTCAATTACACAGCAATAGAAAAGAAAAATGTTGTTCAGGTGCGAGAGGTGCTTCAAGGGCTTAAGCGAAATGAATTAAAGCACTACATTTACACATTAGTTTTAGTGGCGTTTGAGCTTGCTGTTCTATCTAATCAGCGCCGCAACTTTGATTTGACACCATAATCTGGTCGCGGAAATTCCAGTTTCAATCCCAATCCACTGAGTTGATGTAGCAGATTCTTTGTTGGAGATCTATGAAGTTTTTAGAAAAATTCTTGAATTTATTTTTAAGACGTCTACGTGTTACTTCGTAAATAAATAATAAAAAAGTACTTTTATATTTCAATGCTTAATCCATCAATTTACAAGAACTCTTAACATTTTACAACTATAAAATGAATATTTTATAGTTATTATATATTATTCATTTGCACTGATCTATTTTTCTTGTTAGAAACTTATTAATATTTTGAGCAGTTTTTTAAGATGCTCATATGGTTTACCCAAGTTTAAATAAAAGTGTAAGAATTGTCTATTCCACATAAGGAATACTTATATACTTTTTCGTGTATATTTTTAATTTTAGATTTTCTCTATATCCTTTTCTATTATGCTTTTAAATTTCTAGCTCATTAGTAACGAAATGGCAAGTAATTGAGTTTTGTTGACTAAAAAGTTCGAGGGTTTCCATGAAGGACATACAACTTAAGCTACACGCAGGCCTTAGTATGGAATAATTTATGACACTTTATATAAAAATCAGAATTTATAAAATACTATATTAACATCTTTACAAACAATATGACGGTTTAAATAAAGTGCAATAAGAGTCTTGAATATCAAAGTAAGATCCACTGGAGCAAGTGTATTCCGTCCCTTTTATTACTCCATTTACATAATAACAGTAAACATATCTAAATATAGGAAAAAAATAAACAATTTAATTTTAAAAGTAATAACTTCTGTTTCATTTACAATTACCGTTTGCAAAATGGATCACTTGGTTGAGTGGGAAACACTCCAACTTGACGCACTTGCTCACAAGCATACTGTGGTGTATTTGGTAGCTTGGTTGTCGTTTCCGTGGTACTCGCTTCTGACGTGGTTGTTTCTGTTGTTGTGGTGGTTGTGGTGGATGTAGTGGTGTCTGTTGCCACACGACCACAGGTGACGCTCGCAGCAAGCGATTCAGGGACACAAATGGAATCACTGGTAGCATCGCAAACATATCCATCAGGACAGTAACCAATTGGACTTGTTGGACGTGCAGCACCGTAACACATCTGAAATGTAGTGCGGCTTTGACAGGCAAAAACATAGTTACGATGTGCACTGCAGAGACCACACTGTGCTGAGTCGTCACAACTGGGTGGACGTTGAACATTCGATTGCACACAAATCGCATTCAAGTTTGTGCAATCAAAGCCGTCCTTGCAGTGATACAGTACTTCAGTATTTGGAAAGTTATCTAAACAAATGGTTGCTTTAATGGATGATGAAATTCAATAAGGAAATGCTTGTAATTACCCTCAAAGCATAAATAGTATGAAGTGGAATTGATGCAAGCGACACGATTGCGCTGGCAAACATCGCATTCGGCTTCTATATATTTGACCAAAATTAACAAATAGACCACGTACTAAAAAATTTAAAAATTTCATAAAATCATTGCCGTTATTAGAAATTCAGTAGAATGAGTTTTTAACCAAGAAACCAATTTTTTTCATAGATTTTAATAAAGTTATTGAACTCCAGTCAAGTATTTCTTTTCTACACATGGGTTAAGCAACCATACTATTGACTTTATTAATTAACAAGTTAAAAAATTATAGACAATAGAAATTCTTTTTTTTTTTGTTTTATAGAATAGATTAGCATTTCGAAAATACGTCAAAATCTTAATTTAATTTAACCCAATTTCTCACAGCATCCACAACAACTCACAACGTATCTTAAGCTTTAGCATCTGTCAACAATTTATCTGCTTGCAAACTTATTTACATTCAAGGATTATTTGATTAGATTTTGTATCTTTAAAATTATTTTTCGTCTTATCTATCGCCTATTTAATCTACTGAACTTGAATTTTTATCAAGAGTAGCACGTTTATGGGCGTCGCGCAGCGTTTATCGGTCGTTCCCGAAGGCGACTTACTTGCAGAAAATGCCAACGACACCTTTTCACCTCGTTTGGAGCAAATCCCCTCACCAACAGCATTATAATTCAGTGCTTTTCTAACACTCTGTAGTTTAAATATTTCCAACGGTTTTGTTACCTCAAGGTTCAACTGTTCCGCACGATTTGAATAGTATTTCACAACTGCCTCCAGCTTTGACTAAAATTATCTGAACCCAATCTAATGGTACTTTATGTACTTTGCGAGTGTTAATTTGTTTGTTTATTTTTTTGGTAGTTTTCATTCGAAACACTTCAGTTGATTAAATTTAGTTAAGATGTTAAGTGGATTTTACTTGGATTGTCTTAAGCTACCACATAATTGAGTGGCAATTAGAAATTTCACAAGTATTTCACTTGTTTGGTATTTGTTTATCTAAGCTTCATTTAAGCAGTATTCACAGCTCTCTAGAAAGTTATTTTTAATATTTAAATATCATTCTTTAAAAATAGTCATTTTAACATAAAAAATTTTAAATCTCATAATGAAATTTCATAATATGTTACTTTTGCATTAGCTTTAATGCGTATCTTATAAACAGTCATAGATTCATATAATGAACACATTTTTGAATTATAATTACATGTATATGGTGACCATAAGAAATTTTATATAGTTTGCAGGTTTTAGTTCATAAAGATTCAAAAACAGATACTTATACTTGTATTAAGAAGTATACTTTAATAAATATACGTATAAGATGAAAAAGCCTTTAATGAGAAACAAAACAGTTAGTCGATATACTTAGGACAATGTATATATATGATTGCGAATCGTAATTTAAAGTAGTAGGTACTAGCTAACATATCACCTTTACTCCTTTCTCTGGAAATCTACATCACTTTTATTTTAAATCATTTTTAGTTTAAAATTTGACGTCTGATATCCGCAAATACCTCACCCATCGATTAATTTCTTTAAAGCTGAGCTAAAGAATTGTTGAGATGATCATCTATTTTGCCAAAAAGTTTAGACACTTTGAGCTTTCATAGTTGGTGATGGTTTCAATAGAAATATCTATGAATACTACAGTTGCTGATATGTTCGGTTTTAAAAATTTTGCAGTTTTTTAAGAAAGGATTTTACTATCTTAGTAAAACCGACATAAGCATATAGCAAAGATGCCGTGATGGTTTATTCATAGAGAAATATTCTGGTACTCTTTTATGAAGTATTAGGGATTAAATTATTATCAGGGCTTTTGATGAGAGATTAAAGCAGATTCAGAGTTTGTGCACAAATTACTTGTTATCAAATCTTATATACACGTATCTCAATGCATTAGTCCATTCAATTCTGACATTATTTATTATTATTCTGACATTATTTATAACCTCGTATTCTCATAATGTGTTAAGCGGGATAAAAATTATTGATGAAGATATTTAGTACATTACAAAGATTGTTTGAAACCAGATAGCTGACAATAACTCCTTACTATATGCTAACAAAACTGCAATAGTGGCAAATAATGTTTATGTGTTACGAGTGCTCGTAGCGGAAGATGAATACTAAAAATCCATAAGTTTATGATAGCATAAATCAAAATTTAATATAATTCAAAACAAGTATAGTAGATAATCAAAATATTGATCGTATTTAAACAGCTGTCATACTGGTTGTAAGAACTATACGATCAAGACAAAAATATAAACTGCAGAATAAAAATTGCGTGGACCTAAGACTGCGATATATAAGGTACTACGTATGATCAGTTTAACTCTAAGGGACAGAAATTTGAATGCTAGATTTCGTGTTGTCGCCACATCCTGAAAATTTCTTGGATTGTCAGGGTCAATAATATGGAGCTGTACAGAACAATAAAACCAGAAAGAAGAATGTTAAGAACATATACAAGTTAACTTCAACTAATACTTGAAGGTCGTATAGAAGAGATGTCAGGCGAAAATAACTTTAAGAAATTGAGGAATTAAGCACCTTAAATCAAATCTTTCAAATATTAGCTTATTATATTTATCTTTATTTTCAAATTATTACATTATGGTAAGGTGCCTTCATGACTCACTATGTATCTCTAAAAACAATCTTAAAAACTATTATTCTGTCATGAATGCCAGTCAGAGTTGCATTTATAACTACAGTCATATAATATGGTAAATAAAGGGATACAACACACTTATATAAAATTATAGCATTAATTAATATATTGCAACTATATATTACCTACTGCTATTGTGTTATATGTACTATACTATGTACATCTTATAAAAAAAACTTATAGGTTTTGCTTGGTGTTGTTGTTCACGTTCAAGTTTTATATTCATATAGATCCACGATTTCATGCATGCGTTATATATATGACTTTTTCTGATGATTTCCTAGATCTTCATTTCTTTTGTTAGAATTGCACGCAACCCAAGCTATATTAATATGTGATGATTTATTTTTAGGTATATTATTTCTACATCTTTTAATCTTTTATTTTTGACTAATGTAGTTGACGATTTTTCTCATTCTTCTACATCTATAGATTTTATATTATCAACTATTATAGATTTTATATTATTATTATTGATTTTATATTACCTTTGATTACCTTTACGAAAAGTAGATATTTTCTTAATAAGGTTATAAATGCCATATTATTAAATTAATATCAAATTATTAAATTTTCTTATATGGTAATATTATATATTTTAATATAGCATTATAGTTACGATAAAAATCGATACCAATAAATTTATTAACGCCCGTATATATGTTTGGTAATATATTTTTAAAATAATTAACTACAATTTTCTAATATGCAAGGTGTTTGAGCAGTGCCATATAAATTACATATATAGCCAAACGGACAACAGCCACGTACTTCTGTTAGACCACCATTTGTACATAGTGTGTAGCTGGTACGACTCGTACAAGTGAAGTCCCTATCATTCATATTGTCACATACATCACAACGAGAACCGAGTTCACAATCTGGTCTTATTTCAGGTATTGTAATTGGAGAGCATATAAATGTATTTAGAGAAGTACATATTGTAGTATCGGGACAACTAAATGTAAGAGAAGTATCAGCAGTGCCTTAAATTAAAAAATAGTTCATTGAATAAAACATATATGTCGAAAATGTACGTTTAGAGAATCTAACCATTATAACAGACTTGATATTCCGTTTCTGTTACACAGGCAAAACCTTCGTGACTGCACTGATTACAAACTGCAGAGATATTCTCAAAACCCACTATGACGAAAATTACCAAAAACTGAAAATTGAAATAAACAAAAAATTTATTTAGTACTGTTTAAAATTTAAAATATAAATAATAATAAATAATTTCCTTCTCACAAACATTTTTAACATATTATGAATGTGTTTTGCTCACAGTTAAAACCTGCTTTCATTAAAGGTTAAGTTTAACTAATTTCAGTTCTCTTGCTGTGATGTTAGTTTGTACCAAACTTTATGATCGCGTTATTATCTTCTATAATGTGTGGGGGATTAGCACTTGATGCTGGAGTCTATTGTTCTGATAAGTAAGAATGAGATTAATAATGCAAATATGCAAGATTCTGTTGAAGAGTTATTTAACATGATTCCATAAAAAATTGTGTTTTTTTTAAGCAAATAATCTTTTTAATGTGTTTTAACTGTCAAAAAGTTTATTGTTTTTCGACATATTGTTAAGATTGCGAAAATTTATTTACAAAATCAGTACTCCATAACAAACGAACTTTATTACTTTCTTGACTACTACACATTTCTTAACGAGATGTTGACACAGTTCAACATGTCTCTAATATAGGTCCCCGGTTATTGAATAATTTTTAACAACTGCGAAGCAGACGTGCCATAGCCAGACGAGGTGCTTCAGGAAATTACTCAGTATACCTAAATAATCTAGGCATATACCTAGTTGACATTTGCTAAGTTTTTTCTGTGCTGTACTTAATAAAAGATGGAGAGACTCAGTGAAATGTAAACATTTGTATACAAGTTGATTGAGTGCAATAAAGAAGAAATCCAATACTCTAACTGAGATGCCCTGTAGAGATGTCAGTTTTGTGGTGGTTTTGTCCAAAGCATAAAAAAGATTATGAAATATTGTTAAGAGATTGAATCTTCCTTTCAAATCTTCCTGTCTCAGTTGTGAAGGGAACGATGAAAGGACGGCGCCGCTTTTCTATGTCAGTCAACTGCAAGACCTATATGATAACACAATGAGTTATTAAGCTTAACATAAGTGTATCCCCTGTGCCGCCAGTATAAACTAACTTAACCTATCAAACGATCTGACAAGACAGGTTTAATAAGAAATCCTTTGCAAAATCTATTAGATTGCAGCGACATCTATGAAAGAACGATAGTAGGTTAATGGTGTACATTTTACTCACTTCCTTCGTTACTTTAAGTAAGTTCGCCTAACGTTTATTATTTATTATTACATGTCATTTTGCAAGTCAGTCAAAACAAAGTATATTGTCAATTTTATGCTCAACATAATAGTTCAAATATTCAGCATGTTTACCCTTTCGGACGCCAAGTCACCGTCGAAAATTTGCAGATATCACACAGATGAACCTATAATCACTGTTGAAGTCATTATCAATGGTGTGCCTAATTCTTTGATTTGACATTACCTCTGCACTTTGAGACTGTGAAAAATTTTGCAACAAGATCTCGGCTTACGTTTTTACAAAGCGTATTTTATATATCTACAAAAATTGAAGACACACATTCGTTAATAGGTATTAGAGCGATTTGAAATCAATCTATTTCTTACCGCAAAATTTGATTAAACGATTAATTTTATTATCATTTCGAAAATATTCCATTGGAATTTTCTATCTTCATAAGAGTTCATTGCTTTGCGCCTGACTATATATTATATGATAATGAAGTTCATTGCACCATTATGATAAACTATATTTTATTGAATTTAAGTATTTACCACACGCTTTACCCAATTTCAGGTTCAATTTGTATGCTGAATCCTTTCGGACTATTATTTGTATTATCGTTTTCTATATATTGAAATTGTGTCCATAACATTTATTTTTACTTCTTTATAAGGTTATATTGCACTTACATATACATATTTATATAGTTTAATGTTAAAATCTATTTTAGATGGAGAGATTTTTGAGATATATTTACTGCTATCAATGTTTTGAACTTACTACATTTTGAAGATTCACTTTGAGCTCTTCTGAGTCAGCAGTGGAGTCAATAACGGCTTTTTCATCTATTAAAGAATAGGGACAACAAAAAATTAGTTTCAAAATATTTCTGGTAATGTTTCATTTTACCTGCTATCAATAATTTTTAAATGTTTTGGACCCATATACAGACGGTATTCACTATTCCAATTCTTTCTAGAACACATTTCCCTCGAAGTGTATTTGCACAATTCTATCATACTAGGAAGTTGGATAAAGAACGACTTTGTACAACAACAACAGTGATAACATTGATTGTTGTGTATTCTAAAGAATATATTATGGTTTCAGTTTTGTTCAAGAAGTATGTAACTGCCGTTTTATTACACACTGCCAGAGGCGAGGTTGTGAAAATAGGTATCATGTTTAAAAGCAATCTGATCGTTTTATAAATGATATTATTTTTGTGGGACAAGAGTAACCCTTTGTTTCCAAAATCATTCTGGAAGATGTTCGGATATGTAAAATGCAGAGCACGTTTAATAGGTCTTAAGGTTGTTAATAATTCTCTTTCTGTGTATACATATATATACACATAGCAGTATATATAATCCACCTGAAATGATGAATTGTTTCAATACAATTATTATGTTTCGGTAAATGTTTTTAATATGCTACGAAGTTAATAAAAATGTTATTTAAATATATTTCTGTGTACACTTTTTGCTCTGTTAACTATTGTTGAATGGATTTAAAGCTATATATACTTGGACTAAAAAATATCGGAAGTTAAATATTCAAGTGAAATCTTTTGACTGTGAAGTGTTATAATCTATATTTCGACTGTATTAATGTTCATATCAGGTGTTTGAGTTGAAATTCCATTTTTAATCAACAAAATAAGTTATTAAGGAATTATTAGTCTTTAACTAGTAATTATATATTTTCGGAACAGTTACCAAATTTGTCATAAAAATATACCATGCGAATTTATTCAAGTACATACAAATATTTCTCGATATTTGCACAATATATAAAAATTTCAATATAACGTCCATGAATATATTGTTTTTAAGAACTTCTCATCATGACACCCGCAATGCACTGATTAAATCAATTATAATTACTTATTTATTTATTTATTAATTTATTATGAAAAATTAGTAGTTAAGTAATATAGTACAATGTAATTTATTATTAACAAATATTTTATTTTAAAAATATTTATTTTACTTAAATTATATTATTAAATAAAGTGATGTATACTCTAGTCATATTTACTTTGAAAATTATAGCTAGGAAAACCTATAATTTAAGGTTCAGGAAGTTCTAATTTACACACATGTGGCTGGCTTAATGTTAATACAATTGTTGGCTTCTGCACTGAAGTACAATCCTGCGGGACATGTCATCGCCGTACCTTGTAAGTAACCTCCTTTCCAGAAGCAGTAAACGTAACTAAAAAGTAATATTTAAAAATATTATGAATAAATTGATCAAATCAATGGTGCCTTTAAGGAAAAATGTTTGCATACTTTGTACATCCGGTGTCTCTGGGGTATGGATAACGCCCAGATGCTGTGTATCTGGAACATACCTCGTTAGGTGTTGGAAGCGTTCCAGGTGGCACAGTTGTTGTAGTTGCAGGTGTTGAGTCGCACAGTTCTGGAGGTGGAGTTGTTATCTCTGGAGTTGTTATCTCTGGAGGTGGAGTTATTATTTCTGGAGGTGGAGTTATTATCTCTGGGGGTGGAGTTATTATCTCTGGGGGTGGAGTTATTATCTCTGGAGGTGGAGTGATTATCTCTGGAGGTGGAGTTATTATCTCTGGAGGTGGAGTTATTATCTCTGGGGGTGGAGTTATTATCTCTGGAGGTGGAGTTATTATCTCTGGAGGTGCAGTTGTGGTTGCATCGGGATCATCAATTGGGCCATCAATTGGATCACTTAGATCACATAATTGATCTAAATCTAAATTACATCCTTCCAACACACATGGAGTTCCAGAAGAAGCTTCGTTCACATTACATATATACTTGTCTGGACAATAACCACGTACATCTGTTAAGCTTCCACCTGAACACATTGTATAACTAGTACGACTAGTGCAAGTAAAGCCACCTGGACCAACATCTGTGCATACACCACACTTTGAAATATCTCCACAGGCTGGTGTTATAGTGACTCCTTGGGTAGCGGTGGGATCCATGCATGCCCGGCCAAAAGTAGTGCATAACTCGTTGGCACCAGTGCAGGTAAAACTTTTCGAAGTATCAGCCACACCTATTTTTGTGAAATAATTGTAAATTACATATATCTTAGATATGATGTTCTTCGTTTTAGTTAATCTTACCATCGATACAGACTTGAAATTCGTTTTGGCTTATGCAGGCAACTCCGTTGTCATTGCATGCATTACAAATCGCACTGACATTTGTAAGACCCAGTGCTGTCAAAATCATAAGGAACTGTAATGAATAAATTTTACACATTAAATGCAATTATTTATTATTTAATTTTTGTTTGTTTTTTTAACAAAAAATCACTATTCTTGATAAATGATATCTATCTTACGGTAAGTTTTAACATTTTCTATAGTATTCCTTGTAGTTATGGTTTATAAAGTTGCTAGGATGAAAGTTTTAGTTCGACTAATAAATTTGTTTGTTAGAATTCGGCTTTTATAATTCATCTCACATGTCTACAGAAATTTAATTTCACGCCATGATAATTTTTATCAGTAATTAAAATGCTGAAACGATTAACACTTCATACCAAAAACTGCAGCTCTGATAAGAACATGATTAGATGATCAAGAGGACAACTGTAAGACGATATCATTCTTTACAGTAAACTCTTGTAAAATTTATAAAAATTCACAGGAAGAAGGCTTATGAGTTTGGTAAGTCCACATTTTTTTCTTGAATATTACCAAAATATATATATTTATTCATTTTTTATGAAAGAGGAACAAAACAAAAAAAAATGCTCTTAAGCTCTTACTTTCTGTAATTATATTATTCAAAAATAGTCAATAAATATCTGTATCCAAAAAGTGTCAATTTTTGAAAAGTTAAATAAAAACCTTAGGCGAATAGAATTCAAAGAGAAAAATTAATTATTTGGCGCCTGTGTGAAATCAGTCAAGTTGTATTAATGCAAGACCTGGTACGTTATAAATATTTTATGAAAAGATTACAAGGATTCACGAATCCATGCCTAACAACTGTTTTGTGCAGTTGATATTCCAGAATAATAATTATCTAATGAGGCAGATGCGGAAGCCAATAGTCTTCCGAAAAAGCAGTATAAGCCGCAACTGTCTAGAGTAAATTCCAAAGGTCATAGGTCTAAAAATCTCACGAAAACGATGTAGCAAAGAACAATGACTCATGATACAAACGACTCATTTAGCGAACTTCGTATTATAGCACCACAAAAGCTATTGAAAATGTTTGTAATTTATAAATCTATATTTTTTACTATTTTATCAATATAATACTTAAAGTCAATATCAGCATATAGCCGCTAAAAACAAATGAATGCTATGGAGAAAATGAAAAGAAAATAATTCCAATAAATCTTATAAATCAATTATTCATACAGTTATTTATAGTATAATGATATTTGTGCAACAGTGTCTGTATGTATGTCATACCGAAGTGTTCCTAACGTAGGCCCGGGGTAGGATAAGATTTCTGAGAATGAAAGGGATCAGTTTAGTTCGCTTGAATCGGATACCCTCTTCAGTTCCGGATTGTGGCCACTGCGTAGGCCACTCGCCGCCGTGTAAAAAATAAACTGCATCTAATGAAAACCGGCAACAAATCTGACAAGCACAGATCCTAATCCTAATCATCATGATAAGCATTATAACATAATTTATTTCAGTTCCCAGCATGAGTTTTCGATTCGATGAAAATCAGATGAATCTACTGAACTCATCTTCTGAATAGAACAAACAATATTAAAAAGAGCATTTATATTAGAGAGTGTTAATAACAAGTGAATAGAATAAGCTGCAACGCACCTTTTTCGCCGAGGTTTAGCTCACCGGATTCCAGATCCAGTCCTACAATAAATTTATTTGATTGGAACAGTCGAAGACTGAGGCGAATATGGGAGGATTGAGAAGGTTCAGTCGTGGGAAGAATTGAGTTGGTGATAACCGAAGATCGCTAGGAAATGTCAATTTAGTAGTAAAAATTGTGGCAGAAATGTTGATTTCAACCTTACCTTTAGAGATCATCAGAAAATGTGGATTTCGTAAGCCGTGGACGATGGATTTGTGATAGCAATGGACATTTCCATCACACTTGTAAAGAATTGCAAAAAGTAGAGATGTAAATTTCTACTACTGTCATACTCAGCACTTATTGAAATGATCGGCATATCAGTTCGTTGCGTTACTGGCTGCCCAGATTTTCTTCTTATCTGGTAGGTGGTAAGCATGGAAACCTACAGTGTGTGAGTTATACCAACTAAAATCACCTCTTAGGAATGAATGGAGAATATTTTCACACCAAGTTGGTAACTTCATTTCAGTAATCAAGGGATAAAAATATGAGCAGATAGACTTAATATCAGGTGGACTACGTTAATCAAAGCCAGGAAGCATGGGCAGGGATAATGAAAGCATCAAGGTCTAACTCATCGATGTATAGGGTTAGATACTGGGAGTGGTTTATAGCGTAAGGATACGACAAGATCAGAAAGGAGAGTGCTGGAGGTGGACACGTCAGGATGAAGTTGTGTAGCCGAGTGAGGTACTCGTCAATGTGAATGATCTGGGCATTATCATAGAGGACAAAAACTTACGCATCTTTTATACCTGAGTAATGAAATATACGCCTTTGTTTTGTTAGTGTAATTATATAGGAATTTTTTTTTTGCAGTAGCAAATTTTGTTATGGCTTTTATTATTATTGTATTTTTGTTATTGTTCTTATCTTGTTCTTATGTTTATTATTGTTTTTGATTAAGGTGAATTGAAATTGTGATTTGAAAATTGTATATTACAAAGCATTTCTATATATTATCTCACTCAGCTATTAAGTAGATAATATTTTTTCTCTGAAACAGAAATCATAAGCTGTTGACTTGCGTAGGTAGTAAATCTTAAATGTCAGAAGTCTAAAATGCATAAAATTTTATCTTATTTTAGCACTGTTAAGTACATATCTAAATCTCTAAATAACAATATAAGCGTTGGTTAATTTTTGAAACCCTATATGAATATCGTATAAAACAAAAACACAGTCAAATATAAAAGCAGCATATTTCCTTAAAAGTATACAGTTTTCTAATAGGAACGCAACAGAACGGATTCAAGAACTTAAAAATGCAGCAACGTGTCGACAAAATTTTGGTATGAAATCATCATTGTAGTTACTTTTATACTAAAAATGTAATAACATCATTTACATCAAATGATTATTTTTCAGTGTCTCATTTTTGCAGTCTCTTTTTTCTTTCTACAAGTTAATGGAAATTGTAATGAATGTCAAGAAAATAACATAGCCTGTATTGATGAAACCCATTTTCACATATGTGCCGGTGGTCAAATAGATAAAAGGTTTACTTTTATTTGTCCTGACAATGGAATTTGTACAGGGTATGGACTAAAGTGCATGCCAGCTAATAGCGGTATAACTCCGTCATGCACGCCTGATTCCGGTTGCGCTATATGTTCTCCCACAAACATGTTTACCTGCATAAGTCGTACACAATTCGCACAATGCAGTGGATCAGAAATAACCGCTAATGTTGGAGTTTGTCCTGACGGCTTCACGTGTGACACTACTTCAAGCGCAATTTGCATTAACGATTGTAATAAACCTGCTTCTTTATCTTGTGATCGGGACCCAATAACGCTCTAAAATTATCGATAGAGCTTATTTTTCCAGCATCAATTTAGTTAAGTTGCACTGCTTACAAAAGTGATTTGTTTTTGTTAATATATATGTAATATGGCGGAAATAAACGATTATTTGGGCTATTCTGCAATTTCCATATACAAGTATATATAAGTACATACAAGTATATATAAAAAGTACATTAATATATATGTATACACCTTTTAATGTAAAGGCATTTCAAAAAAAGTTGCATTTTATCTTATGAGATTTATTACTCTTTCTTCGTGGATTAATACCAAGGAATGATATCAGCGAACACCGGATGGATATTGAGTTTCTGTTTTTAAGAAAATATAATAAATATATTTAGATTTTCGTGACTTTTGCACAATACCTGGCTTCCATATATATGACGAAGTACTATTTACTTTTTATAAAGCAAAAAATTACATTAAGTACTACAATAATTCGTTTGGTTTTGATGATCCTTGTGCAGTAAATGACTTTTCTTGTATTTTAACATCCTGTAGGATTTTCATAATTTTGTAAGCAAACGGATGTTTAGTCAAGTATTGTTTGCACACTGCCTCAATATTATTCAATTTTTTCTTATATGAATTCCTTTCAGCAAGCACGCTCTGTAGCATAGCATCCTTGGGGTCTTTCTCTGAGCTCTTTGAACCAACCTTTATATCAAGCAGCTTTTTAATAATTTCAGCCTTATGGATACTTTCTGGTTTAGTATTGGCAACAGCTATATATTTTTGTACGGATTCATTGGTTGGAGTGCCATAACCAATTTTTTGATTGAAGCGTTCTGCAACATGATCACGAGTGCTAGTTGAGTTTTTACAGTGAGAATCATAAAACTGTTTAAACCAAATTAGAAAATGTAAGTTTGGTATATAGCGATACTCAGTAATATCCAATATCGGTATTATCTTAGACTTGATAACAAATCTGAGAGAGTCAATTGCTGATTGCAGCAACTTGTAGTTATGTACACAATCCATTTTCACATTAGTAAAAAATACAACCGTTCTCAAATCAATTGTGTATGGGAAAAGATAATGCATAGCTTGGCAATAGGCTGCACCAGTACGTAATTCGCTAACTTCTCCAAAGTCAGCTCCTACGATGCCATTTAGCCAAGCGAGTAGTTCATTGGCTGAACAATTCGATTTTGGTTCAAAGGCCCAGCACGAAGTCGTTGACATTCTGGCAACTTTTCTTGTCTTGGAATTACAAATTACAAATTACAAATTTAGAATTTCAAATTTCAAATTTCGAATAAACTACAATTTAGAATAATCAATAAAAAATAATAAAAAAATCTTTAAGAAAAATACATCATTAAATATTATTATGAAAACATTGGTTACTAAGTCAAATTTCATCAAAACTATTTCTTAAGTTTGACAGTAAGTTCTCACTGGGAAGGTATAAATTTGGAATCTTTAGAATGTATACAGTTGTCAGTGTAGTGTAGTTAATTACTAGTTATCAAAATGTCTGTTTTCGGTACGTACTGCAGCTACATAATTAATAATTTGAAAATACCGGGCTTCTCTTAATAACCTTGCTAGGCGTGTAGTGTACAGCTGTCATGGGTGCCTGGATATAGAGACATTTCGGACAACTGTAGCGCAAACGATTTTGCCAAGGAAGGTACTCTACTCCCTGACATTCATTTCTCAGATAGTGGTGTCCCACTTGCAATAGCTATTTTTCAGCTATTTGTGTCCGACTTGCAATGGCTAAGCTGATAATCAAATAAAAATATCTGAGTATAGCTAAACAAAATTGAGGTGATAAACCCTGCTATCAGATTTCAAGATTGATCTCGTCCAAACTGCATATAACACATATTAACCAGATTCTTCAACTAATATTTAACTGATCAGCAATACTGGATCTGTTGTGCCGGGTCACTGCATATAAGAAAGACATGCTATGAAACTGGGTCTACCTTATACACACTTTTGTCGTGATTGTTGCTGTGCAGATGAGGAGGAAACCGCATTTTACCTCACGTGTCAGTGTCCATCATTGAAAAGATAGCCTCTTTTCTTACCGCCCTGACCAAGATATCATCCAACCAAGATGTCATCCAGTAAAATCAGGGACTGAGTCTAGTTTATAAATTTGTCGAGTTGGTTTACTTTTACATAAATGGGGGTGTATTGCTGTGCGGCTTTGCTCGTACTCTGACTTTATCTACCAACCTAAGTTACTCTAAAACGACTGTTCGCGCTCCTTTTTAACTCGCAATATATTAAAATAAACCTGTTCTGTAAGGTTGAGCAAAACTTTATCACAAATGAAATGGATTACAAAGATGGGTTATTTCAAGAAGGTGACAACAACAAAGAGCTCTTAAAAATCAGACCACTGTATTATCGAGACCTCGATATTTTTACAGCACTGCAGAGATATCCTGAGATACGTGGTAAGCTAGAAAATTAAAAACTAGTAGGTTTCTCAACACTATAGGTCTAATCCGGCCTTTTCTTATAAAAAACTGCATGATCTTATTGTTGAGTAGATTTTAGAAAGCATTTCATAAAAAAATCTAATTACTCGTTAGTTCACTTTTAACTAGTTTTGGTATTAACTGTTATGTGCATATTTCTGCATACATATATATACATATATTTATTATAAAAGAAAGTTTCCTTTACAGTACGAGGCTAGCCACATGCTTTCTTACAAATGTTTGATGATGGACCTATATGCAATGCCTCATGATAATATCCTAGGACAAGACATTAGGGCTTTGGTCATTTATATACTTTGTGTTCACATCGTCTTACGATAAATAAATTACTTAAATAAATATGTGGAATTTATTTATATTTATATATACATTTAAATATAAATTTAATTGTGTTTGTACGCTTATCTTGTTAACATATTATATATTCTTTATATGTTTAATTTGACATCTTATAGCATCACGAAAAAATTTTCAAGTAAAAACTTTTAATGAAATTATTCAAATAAAGGAATAAGGAAGCAGCAAGGATTCCGACTTTGAAAAAAGGATTGAACATACTATTTTGTAGAAGCTTAAGCCTTATCGCGGTTAATGCATTTAATTTATTTACAAGAATTTTAGTTTCGAATTGCAATTGAGCTCGGTCTAATTGTAAATTTTGAATTTGCTGTGCTTGCATTTCCAAGATTTGACGTAGGCCACTCACACAGTGGTGGTTGTCATCTTTTATCAGTAAACCACAACCCATTCGACATCGGAAGGGATTCTTATCACACGTATCCTCATGTTTTTGCAATGAATCGAATTTGAGTTGAGTTTCACATCCATGAATTCTGTTTTCACAACTAATAGTTAGGTCAGCTAACATATTGCGAACAACTCGAGATGAAGTTGTCAAATCCTCTTTCACTAAAGAATGTCTGCATTCCGGGCACTTTGAATGATCAGATAAGTATTTCAATATACAAGCACGGCAGAAATCAGCCACACACGCATCACATTTTACAGGATCTTCTAGGACGTCGTTACATATGACACACAAGAGCAGTTCATCAACGAATGTAACGAAACGATTGATTTCATAACCCATTTTGCTAAAATTATTTTTGAAAACAAATAATATTATTATATTATTAAATAATATAAAAAATAAAAATGAATGATAATTGTTAATAGCTGTTTACTAATCGCAAAAGAATATGCGATGCTTGGGCGTCTTATAATATATGATGAAAAATCTTCAAAAGACTGGTGAATGGGATAAAACCTATTTATATTATTTGTTGTTGCTGTTGTGGTTTAAGTTAGTAATGCATACTTTTACTCTTTTGTGGCTGGGGGCTTATCTCAGCCCCGCAATAAGCTTTAACTATACTAGAATTATTATTATTTATTTATCTTTTATCTGATGACGGACCGTAGATCAGCATATCGAATTTATCCTGTGCGTCCTGAAGTGGACTTAAGGTTTGTTAATATATGTATATGCAATCAAGTAATGGAAATTAAATCACATTCGATTACGTTATATGAAACAGTATTCGTCAAATAAGATCATTTTTCACCATTAAAAAAAATATTAAATGACAGGTGAGAAGACGCAATAAATTTATCGGAATTGTATGAAGATTATATATTAAAAACTAAATAGGTTCTATCAAAGGATTGAATCCAATCTATATAGTCAGCAATCATTAAAGTTGAAGAAATAAACCGAGGGAAAAAAATAAATTTGATGTAAAAGAAAGTTATTGTATTTCAACATGACAACGCGACGCAAACGTTTTAGAGTCTTAAACATTCAGAACTTGACGAAAATTTTAGTGAATTTACCTTTTAGTCTAATATTGGTCCAATATATGTATTGGTAATATTGGGATCTCTCTTGCCGCAGAACTCAGACCAATATTGGATTGTAGAGATTAGATTAGTTTTTCAAAGAGAAAGTAGCTAAAGTGTACAATAAAATAGAAATGGAAAAAATACTATTATTAATAAAATTATTTCATATATAAGACAAGTCAAATATTTTGATCTAAAAATAAATTATGAAATATCTCACCGCTTTTGTTTATGGCTATTAAATAGTGGACACTACTTATTGTCTTTTCGATCACATATACTAATAACCAAGTAGTTGTCCCTCAGCAATGATTTATCCACTCAAGCTAACAATAAATTTTTCATTACTTCCTTCACTCCAATTTTTATTTACTTGAATAAGAATAATTTTTAACTCCAATGCCAGGGCGTTTGAAGATACATCCAAAACTAATTTAATATTAATTTTTTTAATTCAATGCTAATTTTTTTTTAAATCTAACATAGCAATTATATAAAATTTTTACAAATTAATTTGTAATAGATGCCAACAAAGGGAGAATGAATCTCTTCTCGATTCTATCGAAATTATGTATATCATTATTTTTGTAAAAAATATAACATTAAACTTTTATTAATCAAATTCAACTAATGCATAGCAAACTAATCTTTACCTGAAGTATATCTGTGTTTACATATATTTTCAAATGAATCGACACTAATACTTGTATGTCTAACTATCGACATGACCATTAGTAAATCTGTTAATAAGCGGGAATAAATATTTGGTCGCAAAAACCGTAGTTGTATAGAAATATATTA